AAAAAAAAAAAGCCAGCAACAGATCAACTGTAAATTCAGCTGTGTTAAGGGTAAAGATTTATGTTGAAAAAGAAAACTTAAGAATGAAATAAAACAAAAAGAAAGACTGCTAATAGTAAAATTTGTTAGACTGTATTAGCTGTAACTGCAGTGAGCAAACAGAACAAAGAAGTTGTTTTTCCCTCTACTGTTCAGTTTCATTTTTGCAAAGGTATGAGCTTTTTTTGCTCAGGAAGTTTTTATTTCTAAAAACAAGAATAACATATATGTAATTCTTAGAATAAAGAAGAAGACAAAAAAAGCAGATAGAATTAATCCAAAAGAACCAGGCAAAAGAGCATCACCAATTTTAGCATCAGTAGCATCAGTAACGACAGAAGCACTGCAGTTCAGCTGTAAGGCCGACCTGCTGTTGCCCATAAACGATTTTTGAACAACAGAAATCAAATTACCGCAAACTTTCAATAATTAAAAAGTTGATTGTTTAAGACAAACTGCTCAAAAAAGAAAATGCTTAATTTATCAAAATTTCTGTTTGATATAACCGACAAATGCTTTTAGTCAGTCTTTAAAGTTTTCAACTTTCACTATGACGCTTCGTTCTTTGCAGTCAGACTATTATTTATCATTTCTAAGAATAGAAGAGGAGAAAAAAACGGCTCAAGAAAATTGATATCTGATTATCAGCAATTATTCTTTGTAATGTTGTCAACATCAACAGATAATTTGTCATCAAAATAATTTTCCCTTTTATTTCCCCTTCTTTTCATCTCTTTCCCTCGTTTCTGTTGGATCACTAAAATACGACTTTAACACTGAAAGTTCAAACAAATAACCTTTAAAAAAACTGCTTTTTTTTTCTTTTTCTATTACCGTTGTTGTAACAAGGTATAGGTAACGAGAAAAACGAGTAAAAGTAAATTAAAAGTTTTAGAACCAGTTATATTTGTTTTTGGAGAAGAAATTGCCCAATAAAAATTTTAGAATTTATTGCTTTTGTTCATCTTAAAGCTCTTAAAGAGTAAAAATAACATTTCTTCGTCATCTTCTTTTCTTTTTCTTTTTTTTTTCTTCTTACCATCGCAACTTTTTTCTTCCTTTTTTTATTGTGTACAAAATAAAATTAAAGCGCAAATTTCCTCATTCTTTTTTCATTACCCAACCATTTTTTTCCTCCCACTTTAACGCATTTAATCTGCTTCATTGAGGACAACACCAAAACTGTATAGGGATATAATTATTCTGCATTTTATTGACAACTAATTGCTAAATAACCAGAAAAAAAGAAAAGATGGTTTTTACACCAAAAAAATTAAAGAGAAAGAAAGTTTGTTTTGCATTTAGCAAAGTAAAAAAATTTTTCTCTTTCTTTCAGAAAAAAAAAAGAGTAAAAACTGTTAAAAAGTTTCTAGAAAAAAATTGATGACGTAGAAAAAAAAACAATAATAGTGAAAAGGCAGACTGATGACTAGCGAAAATAATGGTAGATTTAGTTGGGTATAAAAACAGTGACGTTCAACGGATACTGGTGACCAGTTATAGGTATCGGTTGTCGATTTCCGTGCTGTTGCTGTTGCCGTTACCGACAGTGGTTTTACTCCTTACCGCCTAAGCCTAAGTAGCCGCTAATTTTTTTTTTGTTACTTTTATTACTACTAGTATTTTTTTGGTGTTTATATCTATAGATATACAAAAATTGATGTTAAGTTCAGTAGTGAACAGAAAAGAGAAAAAAAAAGTGAGGCAAAAATGAGCAGAGATTCAACATGACAATCAATGGTCAATCTATAAGATAAATCTAAACAAGTTAGGCTACTTTTTCCCTTTAATGTTGCCATTATTGTTTATCTGATATTGTTACCAGCGAATTCTGAGCAAAAAAAGAAAATATGGCAAACAAGAAAAATTAAAAGGAAACAGAAGAAAACCGAAATATATAAATAAACAAATAGATAAAGCAGTAACTTACAATCACCTCCCCAAATTGTATACGGTATCTCATAGGTTTCCCATTCATAAATTGGCCCAGCAATGACTTGTCGTCGATGCCTGTGCATAGCTTTGCTGGTTCTGGAGACTCGTTCAATGATACCGATATGTGGATATTTATCTGTTGTCATAACATCCATACCCGGTATCATCAGTAATGTATTATTTTTGAACAATGCTCCATCAGCAGAGTACCACTGTACAGTAAATACCAACAACAAATACAGCAACCATAGCTTTATGCTCCATTGATGAGCCAGTAAATGCATTGTTGCTGTTTATCGACGACACTGATAGTAGAAATTATAATAATGTTACCGTTAACAGTGTTCAAGAAAAATTGCTGAGGAGTTTAGTGTGATAAAAAGAAAGAAAAAAAAACGTCAACAAAAGCAGAATTATAATATTGACCGACAAATAACGAAAAAAAACAGTAGTAATACAGTTTGATTTTTGAATTGCAGCCGATAACAGTGACAATAACAGTAACAGCGACACTATATCAGTAACCGGAATCAATGTCAGTATTAGTGTTTGTATATCAGTATCGGTACCGGTATCAGTATCACCACCAATAGCAGCAATAGCAGCACTTATGTGTATGGTTTATGATAAAATGAACAACAGCAACGGG